GTAAATCAATATACGAGGTCTGTCTGAAAAGTAACACAATTGGTGTCACAAACAAGTTATTTCAATTCCAAACAACAAACTACACGCCTTCCTCTTCAAGGTAATCGCCCACGAGTCTAATGCACTTTTCCGTCCTTGTCCATCACGCTTCTATGCAACGATGGATTCTTCTTGGGTGCCACTTAGCTCCGCCGTTACGGCCCTCTTGATCGCCTCCGCGCCTTCAAAACGGCTCCCTTTGATGGTCCCCTTGGACTTAGGGAAAAGAAAAATCACACGGTGCAAATTCAGGTGAATAGGATGTTTGTTGTACGGCGATGTTCTTATGGGCAGGAACTGCCGGATGCACAGGGAATTGTGAAAAGGTGCATTGTCGTGGTGAAGCAGCCACGATTTGTCCTGCCACAACTCTCGCCTCTTCTCGCGCACTGATCGAAACAAACGCCGCAGGATATTTCTGTAGACTTAGTTATTGATCATCTGGCCTTGTGGCAAGAACTCACTATAGATGATGTCTCTCATATTGAAGAACGGATAAGTCCCGTCACTTTTCAGACAGACATCGTATAGTAACTTATGGTTTCGTTTTTTCCTAAAGGAGAGCATTCTGAGAGAAGAAGCGACATTATCACCAATTTCTTTTACAGTAGGCGTAGTCTTAACGACGCTACACCGATGGCATTGTGTTGATGATAAATTCTGAAAAGATGCTGAAAGTAATCTTTGACAACATTGTGAACCTTCTCCTCATAGATGAAAAGAAAATTGGAGGCAACCGAAACAACTGAGTTGTACTATAAAATGAGAACTAAACGAGATATCCCGAGACATGCGCAGTGAAACGAGAACAGTTTGTAGATTAAATAAATGGTTCAGTTCAAAATCCCCTGCAGGTTACCGAGATCAATTTACACCTGATGAAAGCTGGAGGGAAGAACGATAGAAACATCCTGATAACAACAAACATGGGAACAATAGTCTGATCTGAATTAAAATAATATATATATATATATATATATATATATATATATATATATATGCAAATATATAGAAAAATAGGAAAGAACACGTTAGGTAAATAAATTCTTTAGTATTTTTGTTTTTCTTTTTTTTAAACTATTGCTCCATACAGAAGTAGATCTTAAATTGTAATTATTAAAAAAAAATATGATTCCATCGCTACATAAGAGTTCTCATGTTTCAAAAACAAGAGCCAAAAACCTCAATATAATTATTAAAATTAAAGTCCTGTTTCATTCTCAAGCTTAATTGGGGCAAGAATTGGCTGGTCAACATTAACGCCTCAAAAACTAAACTACTCTCTATTAATCACCATAGAGATCCTTCCCTGCCCCCCTTTAGAATGTCTGATAGTCAACTCCCTGCATCTGCTCGGTCTCACGTTGACTGCTGATCTGAGATGGAACAAATACATTGAGTCAATTGCTTCTTCCACCACGAGGAAAGTTGGCTCTCTGTGCCGCGCCAGGAAAGTTTTCTCCCCTGAATCGATACTTCAAATATACAAATCAACCATTCGCCCTTGCATGGAGTATTGCTGCCATATATGGTCTGGGGCACCTTCTGTTTACTTCGGAGTTCTTGACAAGATCCAGAGACGGATATGTAATATAATTGGCCCTGATCTGGCATCTCGTCTACAGTCACTCTCTCACAGACGCGCCGTCGCCTCTCTCTGTCTTTTCTACAAATACTTTCATGGTAATTGCTCCGATGAGCTGCTTTCACTGGTTCCCAGACTCCATGAATTCAAGCGCCCTACGAGGCTGGCATCCCGCTCCCACCCTTACACTGTAGAAACTTTTAAATGTAGCCGTCTCTTCTACTCCAATAGCTTCATACCTCGCACCTCTCGTCTGTGGAACACCCTTCCCAATTACTGTTTCCCTGAGAGCTATAATCTCCAACTATTCAAATGTAATGTCAATCGACATCTCCAGTTACCTTGATCTATCCACTATCCTTCTCCTCATCCTTTCTTCTATCACTCCTATCTGCTCTCGCTCCAAATCTTCTGCAACCCCCTGCATCCTAGTGGCTTCACGCCTTGCTCGGGGCGTAATGCTTAAAAAAAAAAAAAAATAAAATTTTCAAATTGAAGATGAAACCGATGGAATACTTTAATTTAATTTAATCTTAATAATTATATTGAGTTTTTTGGCTCTTTCTTTTGAAACATGAGAACTCTTATGTAGCGAAGGAATCATATTTTTTTTTTAAATAACTATAATATATAATATATATATATATATATATATATATATATATATATATATATGTGTGGCAATGTATGTACGCGTAACTATACATACACATTTTACTCACCCCAAGAAAGACGATAATGGTGTTCGGATGCAAAGGAAAAAATATTCGTACACATACAAATTTTTAATTTATTGTATTTCCAGCAAATGACTAAACATACTTTTCATATAATTATCTGTACACAGATGCATAATAAATAAATATGCATAGAAAACAGAAAAAAAAATTTGATTTGCTAGAAATAATTTCCAATTATCCATTTTAATTGGTTTTTTATTCAAACAATGCAAATTTCAGATTTTAAAAAACATTTTTAACATTCTAGATTATACAATTGGAATATTCTAGAATGTTTTTTTGTTATCATGTAATTATTTTTAAAAAAAAAATACAAACAGAGCATTCAGTAATTGATATTCGTGTTAGAAGGTTATCATCATGACAAGAGGTAATAAACTGGCAAATTCGCAAAAGAACACAGTTCCAACAGGGAAATTTGGTGGCACAGCTGTTTCGCGTCGAAAGAAATCGAGAACCCAGGAAGGCAGTCCATCTCGGAGAAGGAAAATCCTGATTGTAAACCCCGTTGCCTTACGGTCATAGGCTATGGAAGTAAATCCAGACAGAAAACCAGGAGTAGAGACTCGAATGCAGTTGATTGTTTCACTGACAACTTTCCAAAACTTTACCGCCAAGCTGTCTAAATTTTTTTCTTTTGGTACGGCAGTGAGAAGAGAGAATGTAGTTTGAACAGCGCACGCCTTCCATATGCCATCGTCCTGGTCTATGCCCTGGGAAAGTCATCTCTAGTTTCATGATATATCCATTAGATAGATAGAAGATAGATAGATAGATTTAGATAGATAGATAGATGAATATCCGTGAGCAGATAGATAGATAGATTAATAGATAGATTATTCAAAATAGATATATATATAGGGATATATAAAATATGATTTTTTTTTTTTCACCTTTTGATGAGTTTCTTAATATTCTTTGATTATAAGTTAGAGGACTAGAAATACAAAAATGGGATTAACCATCCACACAGACAGAAAAATTGAAGCAAATAGGCCGGACATTATTGTCAAAAAAGAAAAAAAAATTTCTACTAATTGATATGGATTGTCCAGCGGATTGTAATAGCAGCAAAGGAATTTGAAAAACTATCAAAATAAAAAGACCTGGAAATTGAAATAGAAAAAATGTGGAAATTGAAAACAAGAATAATACCAGTGGTAATAGGTGCACTTGGAATTATAAAAAATGGAACAAAACAACACATTGAAAGAAATATTTTGAAACCCCAGCTTAAGAGACATACAGAAAATTGTCTTAAAGACACACACACACACTAAGGAGAACTTTGTCTATGTAACGCTAGCAACTTCATCGGAGATAAAAAAAAAAAAAAAAAAAAAAAAAATAAATAGATTTGGTTATAACAACACACCACGACCTGCCTTAGGTCTTTTGCAGACTTGGTTGTGTCCATAGCAGAAATCGAATGATGATGATGATAATAATAATAATAATGGATAGAATATCATTAGATAAAATGAATTCTTTTACAAGATATGTTTATATGTGTCAAATATCTTTAAAGAATTTTAAAGATTGGAACCATGACATTTATTGTGTTTTTGTTTTTGAAAATTTG